GTGGGAACCGACCTGTGAGATTTATATTTATTTAATTTATATGAATTTATATTTACGTTAATTTATATACTTCGATAGCAATTTGTATAATGATAAGTGGACTGTATTTCTGCAATAATCTCTTAATCTCACAAATCGATCCTCTACACATTAGGGGGGGGGGTTATTAAATTAATATATATATGCAGCCAATCAAACTACAGAAATAACTACATACATTAAAGAGGTTCCTTATCTTATAGTACAGCAGGTTAGTCCACCAGGTATAACTAGGGTGTAGACACCAAATTATCCTCTTTGAGGTAGCTTCCATATCACCCAGTAACTGGTGCACAAATCTTGCATCCTCGTCTTGACCTGTCAAAAGTGCGCTAGCTGTGAAGCCAGATACCTATATATGACAAGTATATCAGAGAAAACAGTACATGGAACATGAAGACCTGGCTTAATTACCTTTAGTTTGAGGCTTCCATGTGATCTAACCGGGTCACCCTATATCCTGACATTAATGGCCACTAATGATGATAAACGGGTTTCGGATAGACACTTAACTTGAATTGTAGACATCGTGTTGGAGATGGTACCTTTGGTTTCCATAACACTACGTCCAAGTAAAATTAACAGGAGCCGTATTTGCTCCCGTGTGCCTCTGGTCTCGTATACACAATGGCTGTTTAACACTCCATACTATTGACGTTACTGGCCGACATTGTCCAGAATGATAGGAGCTAAATTTGCTCCACACGTCTCGGAGGTGACACAACAATGGCTCCCTCCTTCCTCCCTCACGCCTGGCCTACTTTGTCCAGATTTCAGAAAGTGATAGAAGGGTCACATTTACTCTACTTTAATATTGATAATTAAGTTAATTTATATAAGATGTTTTTATGATGGTAAAGTCCAAAGACTAATGTATTTAAGAATAATTCCCACCATAATAGGTGGTGAATTATAATAGTGTGTGGTGATGATATCCCGTTTTCTTTAGACGGTAATTCCACTACAAGTTACGTTTTCTATGGGTAACTTGTTGGTAATACAGCTATTATCTGTATGATTATTAAATGGTGTCGGATTTTCCGACACTTCTGGGGTGTGAGTTTTCAGTTATATATATATATATATATATATATATATATATATATATATATATATATATATATATATATATCGTACCTAGTAGCCAGAACGCACTTCTCAGCCTACTATGCAAGGCCCGATTTGCCTAATAAGCCAAGTTTTCATGAATTAATATATTTTCTCTAATTATTTTCTTATGAAATGATAAAGCAACCCATTTCATTATGTATGAGGTCAATTTTTTTTATTGGAGTAAAAATTAAAGTAGATATATGACCGAACCTAACCAACCCTACCTAACCTAACCTAACCTATCTTTATAGATTAGGTTAGGATAGGTAGCCGAAAAAGTTCGGTTAGGTTAGGTTAGGTAGGTTAGGTAGTCTAAAAACAATTAATTCATGAAAACTTGGCTTATTAGGCAAATCGGGCCTTGTATAGTAGGCCGAGAAGTGCGTTCTGGCTACTAGGTACGACATATATATATATATATATATATATATATATATATATATATATATATATATATATATATATATATATATATATATATATAGATATATATATATAGATATATATATATAGATATATATATATATATATATATATATATATATATATATATATATATATATATAGATATATATGTATATAGATATATATATATATATATATATATATATATATATATATATATAGATATAGATATATATATATATATATATAGATATATATATATATATATATATATATATATATATATATATATATATATATATATATATATATATATATATATATATATATATATATATATATAGATATATATATATATATATATATATATATATATATATATATATATATATATATATATATATATATATATATATATATATATATATATATATATATATATATATATATATATATATATATATATATATATTGTGACGGTAAAGCGTTGGTGTTCGGCTGTTTCAAAAGCTAGGGGCATGGCCTCGTCACATAAAGAAAAAAAAAAGAGAAAAGCTGGAACTTTCGTCTGTGGTAAGGTAATGGGAAGACACACAAAACACAAGTAAATTTAACAATGAAATTTTAATTACGTTAGAAAAGCAAGACATGAATAAAATTGGGCATAAAATGTAACAGACAAGTCAACAAACAAAATAATAAGAATAATCACTGGCAAATGAAAAGTTACGTTAAGACAAGTGAATAATAGCAAAGTAAATATTAGTGCCGGAATATTGGCTTCGAGCTGCCACCTCCCTTAGTACACGTAAGCCAAGGCTTAGTCTACCAATGAGACGTGTCAACTGCAAGGAGCACTGAGATATTCTGCCTTCTCTGGGTCGCTGTAGCCCAGACATCAACTCGTGGCGGAGGGTGGTGGGGCAGGTGCGACTGGACACCAGCCAATCAGCGACCGGCAGGCGATGGACAAGCAGTTTACCGGTTAACGGTGGCGGGGGCGAGCAGGTGTGCTGGATACGTTTTGCTCTCTGGGCAAAACGTTTTGGAGATACTTGTTGGATATATCTTCTATATTATTTGTTGATGTGACGTACTTTGGAGGGAAGAGCAGGCTCAATCTCTCTTGAAAGAGATTATCGTCACAATATATATATATATATATATATATATATATATATATATATATATATATATATATATATATATATATATATATATATATATATATATATATATAAGTTTGTGAGGGTACCATCTCTGGTGCCAATGTGGGGACCCATAGCCTCGGAGAAGAAAATAAAAAGTATTCAGAGGAGAGCTTGTGGTTTCTCACTGAACACTAATATTATCTTCTCCAACTACCCCCATTCTTTTGTATGTACACATATATATTTACTTTATTTGAACTTTGTTACAAAAAAGGAGTTACATATGGGTTACAAAGATGGTTATCATAGGTTGTCGAGTTCCTCCAGCTCCTCAGATGGCGGGCAGGAACCCTGGATGCAGTGCGCATTTCCCCTCTGTATCGCCACACTGAGGCGCTGGAAAAGAAAGCTTGCAGCTCTCGGGTCCCTTGTTGTTTCAATGAGCCTAGAACCCAGTTCCTTCAAAAAACTGGTAGCACTTTTACCCCAGCCGCCGAGTGTCTCAGAAGCAATGGGGACAAAATTGTAGTGGTGATCCAGTTCTCTATACTTACGGGATTTGGCTGCTTCCCTGTGGGTGGCAGCGCCACCTGGTTGTGCAACACACACACACACACACACACACACACACACACACATATATATATATATATATATATATATATATATATATATATATATATATATATATATATATATATATATATATATATCTTTCTATATATATATCTATATATATATATTTATATATATCTGTATAAATATATATATCTATCTATATAAATATATATATCTATCTACATACACACACATATGTTTGCATATATACAGTATATATATTGTTGTAGCCAGATATTCTTAGCCTACAAGGCTAAAAATATTTATAATCCACTCCACAATAAATATGCAATACAAGACGTTCACGTATATACAATACTATTCGAACAATTCAATAAAACGTGAATATCTTTGTTGTGTAGTATCGAGGCGGTGGGAGGGTGGTGTGTTTCTTGTTTATTTTTTATTAACAAGCTTAGGTATACACAGCAATGTGTTGCTTTCTTATACTATATGAAAGATTAAACAGTGTAGATAAAAAACTAGCTATAAGTTCATATAATATCCCCTTGTCACAGGATGGTTCGTCATACATGGAATCGGGGAGAAAATACCTGTCTCAATAGAAAAACAAACTCTGACTTAACAACAACTTCACGATTTTCAAAAGAGCTAAGCACGGAATCATGGAAACATTATATTATAATTACTGTTAGCACTTTCTACAAGATTCCTCTCAAACAACGTCTTTTCTTTTTTAACAAGCTTAGGTATACACAGCATTATGTTGCTATCCTATTCTGTATGAAGAAGTATGAAGGACCAGACATTCTTTCACACATTATGAAGGACCACACCACACATTATGAAGGACCACACCACACATTATGAAGGACCACACCACACATTATGAAGGACCACACCACACATTATGAAGGACCACACCACACATTATGAAGGACCACACCACACATTATGAAGGACCACACCACACATTATGAAGGACCACACCACACATTATGAAGGACCACACCACACATTATGAAGGACCACACCACACATTATGAAGGACCACACCACACATTATGAAGGACCACACCACACATTATGAAGGACCACACCACACATTATGAAGGACCACGCAGTGTAGATAAAAAACAAAACAGCTACAAGCTGTTCCAACATGGAGCAGGTTGTCGCCGATATATTATATTACATCTTCCCTCCTTTATTATCGCCTCTTCATAAAGAAATAGTAATTACCTTATACGCTAACTAATAACAATGTGAATAAAACAACAGTGTTATATAGTAAATTTTAATGCCAGACCACAGAAAACGCAGCATCGTACAGAGACGCCACGCACCCACAGACAAATACATCCTCCCTTGACGACTGGCTTCCCCAACACGAAGTAGCTGATTCCTCCTCCTGGCTGTGATGCCAACTACCAATATTGTTTAAGTGTTAAGAAAAATCATTTATTTCACAAAAATTACGAGGTTTGGAAGAAAAGTACACATTGTTACTGCTTCAAATTACGTACCACCGTTGTTCTTTATGTGGAGATGGGTGTTGCCACAAGGAAGCTGATTTTTCTCAATATTTTTTAAAATGTTTCGATTTTTGTCGAATATTTTCGCAAATGTTCGAAATGCTGGTTGAGTCACGTACACACCATGAGAACAAACACTAACAGTTGTTGGTGTTAATCTTTAACAGTGAGGCTTCAGTCTTTAGTGCAGAGCTAGGCTCGCTGCGACCAATCTGATGCTAGTTAGCACTAACTATCCTGCACACTAGAAGCTCCTCTCTTTTAAACAGGGGTCACAACACCATCGCGTCGTCAGCCAAGTCAATGTTTTATAACTGGCAATCATCATTATAGTGTGTAAACGGAAGTAGAACGTCTTCCAAACTCTATCATATTACAGTTTGGCATTGCTCTGCATTGGACATTTTACACCTTCGAGGACGATGTTTAGGTGGGTGTGGGCGTGGGTGCTGACGAAGGCTGTGCTGGTGATAGCAGAATCTGGAACCAACAGCCAGCATGACGGATGTCCCACGGTGCCGTCCCTGCTGCAGGCTGCAGGCTTCAGCCCCTCCTGTGTAGCCACCGCCCTCACCACCTGCACCGGCCAGGCAGAACTCCAATTCATATTGTTAATACAGGTGAGTACAATTGAGTTTGCTCTCGAATCACAATCGGGAACCCCGAAAGTGACAGAAAATGGATAATTTATATCCCTGTTTGCAAATGATGAAAAACGGATGAGGAGTGATAAGAACAAAAACAATCCTTACAGACAAAATACTTAAAATCCCTGAAAGTCCTACTATCCAACATAAGGACACCTTAGTGCCCTGAACATGCATTCTGGTTTTTGCTATACACGTATATTAAGGCAGACCGACTTGCTATAAATTGGTTACTGACAACTCTATCTTCAAGGATCCGTGTTCACTACCGCCAAAATCAAGCTCCAACCATAGGTTATGTGTTCTACTTTTTTAATTAAACATAGAAGACCCAACCAGCTTCCAGTTATCTCATACATGGACGGGAATCCTGAGACATTCATTGCATTGGAAGTATTTATCACTGGCGAAGTACCCTTTAACAGTACTTAGGAAGTTTACCGTTCTTTCCACTGATCTTGCACATCAGAAACTAATTCGCTAAAATATTAGTCTTTTAGTTGTTTTAATTGTTAATAGTACTTTTGGCAATATGAGATTAATCTTACATCGTTATCTCATAAAGTGCCTCTTGCAGGAGACGATGTCAGCTGTGAGGACAGCAATAGAAGAAAGCACGACTAACAGGAAACGACCGCGACACTGCCGAGACCTTCTGGCCGCCGGCGACACTGGGGCCGGCATCCGACAGGTGTACCCGTTCCTCAAGCACCCGGATGCCTCCGTGACCGTTTACTGTGACCAAACTGTCGACGGCGGCGGATGGACCGTATTTCAGAGACGCCGCAACCTTACTGAACGGGAAGATTTCTACCGAACATGGGTCGAGTATCAGCTTGGATTTGGTCATCTGGAGGGCGAGTTCTGGTTGGGTCTCGACCTTCTCCACGAACTCACTTCTGTCACTCTTCAGGAGCTGAGGATTGACCTCATGGATTACGAGGGAGAACACCGATGGGCAAAGTATGGACGTTTCAACATAGGGTCTCCTGACACACATTATCGTATCAGCACCGGAAGGCAAGATCATTACCAGAAATTTTCATTGAACTCTGATAAAATAGTTATTTTCATAAAAAATCTTTTAAAATAAACAGTGTCACGTGCTCTCGAGTCTAGTTTATTAATCTTATGCATTCTGCTATAATGGTGTATGATAGAAAAACATTAAGACCTAAATGTAAAATGTAATGAGGATTATTTCGACAAAGACGCATCAGTTTTTGACATTATGCTAGACGGTGTGCTATGTAACGAGAAATGATTAACTTGTCGTCATGACCAGGTACACGGGCAACGCAGGAGATGGGCTGGGAGGCGCCAGGCACAACGGGTACCCCTTCTCCACCCACGATGCTGACCATGATAGTCAAAGTGTAAACTGTGCTAGCACGTACGTATCCTCAGGTTCACTTGACTACATGCTAAACATTCACACTTAACTCGTCCGCTCATTCCTTTTACACTCCTCAACTATATATCCGTAACAACTTTGTGTTTTCTACTGATAATTATCTTACCTTAAGCCTCAACATTTCCTTAACACTCCTCAGACATTTTATAATCCTTGAACGAGAGAAGCAGTTACACAATAATATACTGAACCTTCCATGTATTCTTGTCGCAAATTTCCGACTCCCTAAATACTAACCCCCAGCACGATAAGATAGAAATATTGTGTGAGGAAATTAAATCTGCTAATATTACTAACTCATAGCGTAGAGACGCCAAAACCTTCCTACAATCTATGGCTGCTGTTACGTCAGCCACTCCACCTCATGGGGTGGAGAACTCTTTATTTAAATCTAAATAATCCCAGTCTTACCTCTGCTTAATTTGCACCGTAATTTAGATTGGAAATTGATTTAATTCCTTTAAAACAAATTACACCTCTATCTCAAGGTGGAAATTTTCACAGCCACGATCAGCTGATCCCCGGTTAGTACAAAGTCTCGTCACGTATAACATTTACGTATATGTGTTTTAAACTACTGACATTTCGGTCCAGTGAAGTAAACTGTGGAAAATTGTCCGCTGATATCAGAAGTGTATTATTAAGACGTAAAACGATGTCGGTAATGTCTTGTTAAATAATAAGACAAGGTAGTTGTGACTGATATTCCCGGGCCATGCGCCAGAAGAGGAGGTAGAGGGCGTGCAACACTTGCTCTCCGAGACTCATAACATCCCAGTGAAGCGGGCAAATTAGCATTTGCCCGCTTTTAGTGTTAATTTGGGATCATCAAAACTACCTACGACTCCCAGACGTTGCTGCTTGCTTCATCCAACAAGGGACGTTGCGTCTAGTCGGTAAATTAACTTTCTATAGGTTTTTTATTGCTACGTTAACCTTTTAGATTGCCCGGCCGTTACGAAAAAGGACAACCAAAATAACCAGAGATATTTAATTCCATTAAAATGTTAAATTCATTTCATCTTTGACATACATCGTCTGACAGAGCCTCACTTTGACACGTCTCGTCTGACAGAGCCTCACTTTGACACGTCTCGTGTGACAGAGCCTTACTTTGACATGTATCGTGTGACAGATCCTTACTTAGACATACATCGTGTGACATCGTGTGACAGCCTTATTTTGGCATACATCGTGTGACAGAGCCTTACTTTGATATATATCGTGTGACAGAGCCTTGCTTTGACATGTATCTCTGACAGAGCCTTACCTTGACATGTATCGTATGACACAGACTTTGACGTGTATCGTGTGACAGAGCCTTACTTTGTCATGCATCGTGTGACAGAGCCTTACTTTGACATGTATCGTGGGGCAAAGCCTTACTTTTAACTGACCCTTAATTAGACATGTACCGTGTGACCGAGTCTTACTTTTACATACATCGTGTGAAAGAGCCTAACTTTGACATTATTATGTGATATTATGTGTTACTTTGACATTATTATGTGATATTATGTGTTACTCTGACATAAATCGTGTGACAGAACCTTAGTTTGACATACATCCTGTGACACTAGAACATGTATTGTGTGACAGACTTACTTTGACATGTATCGTATGACAGAGCCTTACTTTGATATGTATCGTGTGTCAAAGCCTTACTTTAATATATATCGTGTGACAAAGCCTTACTTTGACATGTACTGTGGGACAGAGCTATACTTTGACATGTATTGTGTGATAGAGCCTTATTTTGACATGCATCGTGTGTCAAAGCTTTTTTTTAACATACATCGTGTGACACTAGAGCCTTACCTGATATGTATTGTGTGACAGAGCTTTAGTTTGACATGTACTGTGTGACAGAGCCTTACTTTGACATGTATCGTGTGTCAAAGCCTTACTTTAACATATATCGTGTGACAAAGCCTTACTTTGACATGTATCGTATGTCAAAGCCTTACTTTGACATGTATTGTGTGACAGAGCTTTACTTTGACATGTACCGTGTGAAAGAGCTTTGCTTTGACTTCCACCATCTTAGTTGGTGTAACACATATCCTTCAGCTACCTCAACACGGGAATATCCCCTAAGACAACTTGACGGGAATGTTACTTCGTGAAGCCCGGAAACGTGGCCGAACACGAAATTGATTCGATGAACATAATAATGGCAGAGACGTAAAATTAATGGTGTTTTGTTATCTTCAATGCAGGTACCGTGGCGCCTGGTGGTATGACATATGTCACATCTCCAATTTGAACGGCTACCAGTACGTTGGTAAACATAACACCTATGCAGATGGCATCAACTGGCAACCGTGGAAGGGCTTTTATTACTCTCTCCGGGAGACTACCATGATGTTCAGACCCGCCTTCTGAATGGATCCTCAGTTCGGCTGCCACGATTCATGACTTCACGTGACCAGACCTCTCCCACAACTGCATGGCCACACCATCACTGCTGTTAAATATATTAAGATCCGCCGCATTAGTAAAAACAACTTTATGCCTCTTTATTGATGATGGCTTTGAGATTTGCTTTATTACTCGATGAAATTAAACCTGTTCACAGTTTAGTCACTAAACTAAGCTTTACTCGTTCAATACTTACTTAAATACCCTTATTATTATTATTGATGCAATATAGAATTAGTTCATTGGCTGCCTGCTCTTGAAACATTGAGAATAACAACAGATCATTTTATTCGAATAATGACTTGTATTGATCAGCAATTAAGGTTTCTTGACTATTACTATTTTGCGATAAGTGTTTGCAAAGCTGGATGTTTCTAGCCTATATAATACATGCAAAATAAGATACCTGTCGTTAGTTGTATCTTTTGATTCAAATTGTTCCCTAAAGGACATACGAGCTGTCACGTGAATACAGTGCTGTCACATTACAGCTTTTGTGTTGCTACATATGTGTAATTCTGTCATTTACATTTACCTGATAACCAATATCTCCCTTGTGCTTCAACGAGGACAGGAAGAGGACGGCTTGTCAAAGATCCACACATTTGTCCTGATGATTTTATCAAGCTGGATTTTGAAACTGAGCAATGTGGTGGTATTTGCGGTTTCTGTGGGTAAGCAATTGAGGATTTATAACCCTGTGGGAGAAAAGCACCTACTGTTCTCAGGACTACATTGTGGATTGTTGAGCTTGAAACTGTTGTTTATTGTTCGTGTTACACCTGACCTTTAAAATAAGTTGCCTGGCTCCCCCAATTTCTTCAGTGTGTAACGGTTACCAATCTTTAACCTCACTACTGATTAAAAGTTGGTCGTTATTGAAGAAAAGTTAAAGAAAATATATACAGAAACCAGAGTTCTACTGAGTAACCTTCCGTACAATCTCTCGAGACCCAAACGTTTGACCATTTGGGTATCACCAACTCAAGAGACACTGTATCCTCTAGATTAAACTGCCACTCTGAATATTCGCCTGCCACTCTGAATATTCGCCTGCCACTCTGAATATTCGCCGCCACCACCTGCTAAGCCTGAATGAAGCTCTCAATTGATGGGAAGCAGGATACCATCAATTAAGCGTCCCGTGAAATTCTATCCCCAATGAAATGGAACGGGTAGGATAAGCTTTACGTTAATGTGGAACTTACGAGAAAAGGGATTATCTTTTTAAATTAAGAAAATGCATGTTGGTTTGCATGCGGAGACTAAGGTGTACACATTTGACTTGCATTCAAAAATATTGTAAAAATAACACCGTAAGACAAATACCACTAAACGCAATAAATTCTATAATTATTTATTAAATCAAAATTTATGCTTCAAAACAATATTCAACAAAGTCCCTGACTCTAACCCTAGTGAATGGAGGCACTGAAAATCGTCAATCAATAAGGTGGATTCCTATAGTAATACAAAACTCAAGACAAACAGATACTTAACCACAGCCTGGCTCGATGTTGTCGCCGGCCTCCAGAGAGAGATGTTCCCAAGTGGGTGTCCAGTCTACACTAAAAGTTTCTGCTCCTTTCTCAGGCCGAGAGAGCTGCCCTAGTATTCCTCCGCCTAGTTATCAATTACAAAGCAGGGTGAATAGAACAAACTAAAATAATAATTACTGGCAAACCCCAGATGGTTGAATTATCAATTAACTGGTAGTAATTACATTAGTCATCTTGGCCAAAGTTATATCAATTACAATAATTCTAGAGATCTGAATTTTGTACCTTGTGAATTAAATAATATGGAGGGTTTTGGTGACCCCTTGGACCCAGGGAAGTCAAGATTCATACGTTTCCGAAACTTGTCCCCTCCTATTGACGTCACTGAAGGTGACTTAAGAACATAAGAACATAAGAACAAAGGCAACTGCAGAAGGCCTGTTGGCCCATACGAGGCAGCTCCTATTTATAACCACCCAATCCCACCCATATACATGTCCAACCCATGCTTGCCCCCTGTTACTTGCCCCCTGTTATAATGACTTACTCATTATTCCAACAATTGAGAGTGCTCTCGATACTTGAACAGGTATATTATTGAATACAATTTGAATGAAAACTTGAATTTCTCTAAATTACTGAATTTAACAAAAGATTCAGATTTTAACAAAAGTTTGGGAAGTGTACGGGGAAGGTGGAAGACGGCGGCGACCTGACCTGGTCGAGTGTTGCCACGTCCGCCAGTCAGCTGATCTTGAACTAATGGAAATTGATTCTTCACTCATACATGACGTTAAGTCAATTACATACTTGACAACCGAAGTTATTAATTACGGTTACTTTAATACCTGAATGACTCAAAGTGATACTTTAAAACTAAGGAGAGCTGGCAACCTGTTCCTGCCTGGCTGTTCTAATTCCCAAGGGACGACCTTCCTGCTTCCAAGGTGAGGTAAACTACCCTCTCACTCCACTTTATAGAACCTTCCATGTGGTCTCATGAAGTATTCATGCCAGAACTATAATGAATAATTTCTACAACAACCTAGTTTGTTACAAGTGCTTTAAGAGTTTCGATGAAATCTGCCGTTATGCCTGGTTAGCAGTGTTGTTAGACCTGGTTGATACCTGGTTGATGGGGTTCTGGGAGTTCTTCTACTCCCCAAGCCCGGCCCGAGGCCAGGCTCGACTTGTGAGAGTTTGGTCCACCAGGCTGTTGCTTGGAGGGGCCCGCAGGCCCACATACCCACCACAGCCCGGTTGGTCCGGCACTCCTTGGAGGAATAAATCTAGTTTCCTCTTGAAAATGTCCACGGTTGTTCCGGCAATATTTCTTATGCTTGCTGGGAGGACGTTGAACAACCGCGGACCTCTGATGTTAATATAGTGTTCTCTGATTGTGCCTATGGCACCTCTGCTCTTCATTGGTTCTATTCTACATTTTCTTCCATGTCGTTCACTCCAGTACGTTGTTATTTTACTGTGTAGATTTGGTACTTGGCCCTCCAGTATCTTCCAGGTGTATATTATTTGATATCTCTCTCGTCTTCTTTCTAGTGAGTACATTTGGAGGGCTTTGAGACGATCCCAATAATTTAGGTGCTTTATTGCATCTATGCGTGCCGTATATGTTCTCTGTATTCCCTCTATTTCAGCAATCTCTCCTGCTCTGAAGGGGGAAGTGAGTACTGAGCAGTACTCAAGACGGGACAACACAAGTGACTTGAAGAGTACAACCATTGTGATGGGATCCCTGGATTTGAAAGTTCTCGTAATCCATCCTATCATTTTTCTGGCTGTCGCAATATTTGCTTGGTTATGCTCCTTAAACGTTAGGTCGTCAGACATTATTATTCCCAAATCCTTTACATGCTGTTTTCCTACTATGGGTACATTTGATTGTGTTTTGTACTTTGTATTATGTTTAAGGTCCTCATTTTTACCGTACCTGAGTACCTGGAATTTATCACTGTTAAACATCATGTTATTTTCTGATGCCCAGTCGAAAACTTTGTTAATATCAGCTTGAAGTTTTTCAATGTCCTCAGCCGAGGTAATTTTCATACTGATTTTTGTGTCATCTGCAAAGGATGATACGAAGCTGTGACTTGTATTTTTGTCTATATCTGATATGAGAATAAGGAAAAGCAGCAGTGCAAGGACTGTACCCTGAGGTACAGAGCTTTTCACTGCACTTGGACTAGATTTTATATGGTTGACAGTTACTCGCTGAGTCCTGTTTGACAGAAAACTGAGTATCCAGCGTCCTACTTTACCGGTTATTCCCATTGACTTCATTTTGTGTGCTATCACGCCATGGTCACATTTATCGAAAGCCTTTGCGAAGTCCGTGTATATCACATCAGCATTCTGTTTCTCTTCTAATGCCTCAGTGACTTTGTCGTAGTGCTCAAGTAGCTGTGAGAGGCACGATCTTCCCGCTCGAAATCCATGTTGGCCTGGGTTGTGAAGGTCATTGGTCTCCATGAAATTGGTGACCTGACTCCTAATCACTCTCTCAAATACTTTTATGATGTGCGATGTTAGTGCAACTGGTCTATAATTTTTGCCAATGCTTTGCTCCCTCCCTTGTGTAGAGGGGCTATGTCTGCTACTTTAAGTGCATCTGGTATCTCCCCCGTGTCCAGGCTCTTCCTCCACACTATACTGAGTGCCTGTGCTACCGGCACTTTGCATTTCTTTATAAATATTGAATTCCATGAGTCTGGACCTGGGGCCGAGTGCATAGGCATGTTTTCAATTTCTTTTTCAAAATTTAGTGAGCTCGTGTTTATATCAGTTATATTTACAGGGGTTTGAATATCCCGCATAAAGAAATTGTCTGGATCTTCCACCTTCATGTTGTTTATTGGAGTGCTAAACATGTCCTCATACTGCTTTTTTAGGATTTCACTAATTTCTTTGTCATCCTCCGTGTATGAACCTTCACTTGTACGAATAGGTCCAATACCAATAGACCTGTGGCCCTCAACTCTTCCTGGCATGAGACACGACTTAGTTCTGGAATTATTTTTTTGCCAGGTGTTGCACTTTCTCCAAAACATCTGTCTTTCTGATTATGAGGTTATCTTCTTGAGATGATTTCGGGGCTATAGTGTCCCGCGGCTTGGTACTCGACCAGGCGTCCACCCCCGGGAAGCAGCCCGTGACAGCTGACTAACTCCCAGGTACATATTTACTGCTAAGTAACAGGGGGCATCAGGGTGAAATAAACTCTGCCCATCGTTTTTCGCCGGCGCCCGGGATCTATCGCTCCTCTGGGAATTTTCCAACAAGTAATTTTAATATTGTTATTACATAATTAAATGAACTGTATGAGTGAACTGTAATAAGATTTAATGACTTGTTGGATGTTTCCACTTCCAAAAAAGTTGGGGGGGGGGTAGACTTAATATTGCTAAATCTACCTTGTAAAATAAATATACTTGAATAATTCGGTGGTAAAAACATTTAAGTAAATAATTGTTATGGCGTTAGTAAACTATATATATATACATATATATATATATATATATATATATATATATATATATATATATATATATATATATATATATATATATATATATATATATATATATGTCGTACCTAATAGCCAGAACGCACTTCTCAGCCTACTATTCAAGGCCCGATTTGCCTAATAAGCCAAGTTTTCCTGAATTAATATATTTACTATAATTTTTTTCTTATGAAATGATAAAGCAACCCTTTTCTCTATGTATGAGGTCAATTTTTTTTATTGGAGTTAAAATTAACGTAGATATATGACCGAACCTAACCAACCCTACCTAACCTAACCTAACCTATATTTATAGGTAAGGTTAGGTTAGGTAGCCAAAAAAAGCTAGGTTAGGTTAGGTTAGGTAGGTTAGGTAGACGAAAAAATATTAATTCA